CTTCTGTTGTCCTTAGCTTGAATTCTCTGGTGTCACTGGGTACCTCCCGTCTATTCTTACGTATCCTTGCTGGAATTTATAAAAGATATTGGGATCGGACATGTTTTTTGGCTCTCACCATCTTGTCAGGCCTGGCTGCACAGGACCTTCTGCATCCTCACTGCACAATGTTACACCATCTGCTACTCTGTAATTACACATGTTTGTGGAGCCTGGTATACATTTCTCATTGACTTAAAAACTGGACCTCCAATTGGGGAATTCCAAATTTTGGAGATTAGCCAATGTTTAAAAATGTTTAATTTACCTTAAGCCAAAGGTCACGTGGGACACCACAGCACCACCTTTCCCTTCTGTGTACTTCAGCTTGAATGTGATCAAGGTACTCTGATGTGATGGGGGACTCATGTAATGAAGGAACCTCTGATGCGAAGGGGAAGCTTCTGACCAAGGCAGTTGTGTGCATTCTCACAGGCTCAGGTTTTCCATTGGCAAGAAAAATTTTGGTTTTTTTAGACTGGGGTACCTCTGGATTTTGTATATTTTAAAAGGGTGCCACAACTGAAAAAAGGTTGAAAACTGGTGTACCTGTTTGGATCCATTATTCAAGTAGGCATACTGCAATGGAAATGAAAAATACCGCATGCAATAAGCTTTTGTGTTTTAGGGCTTATGTGGTTTAACTCCAAACACTGACAATGGATAAACTGAACTTACAGCTTTCTAAGCTTTAACACTTCAACCTGTGTGTCTTGGAACATGAGAGGTCCAAATTATTCACTGACCCCTGACCCGCACAGGATGTGGCTGAACTGAACGCTTGAAGAATTCCAGTGGAAAACTAGTAATCCTAGGGACTTAACTGTTCTGTTTAAGTAATAAATTAAATATGAAAATATATCCAATGTCTGCTGGTCCGTCTGTACAAACACTTCTCCAGCAGTGTGTGGTGCATCACTTGCGTGCGTTATACAATAACTTATTATATTTTAAAGTTATTGAGGAGTTTAGATTCTATGTTTGTTTTTCTAGTTTGCAAAGCTACAAAAACATCAAACAATCAAACAATCCTAAAGGATCAGAACAAAAATTTCCGTTTTTGGTAGATACCTATGAGTTAAACCAGCTGGCACTTTCTCCTATCTCTTGAGAACTCTATTGTTGAGACCTCTGCAACCTCTGAGTTCCTGTGTCTGCATACCTGCTGTACCAATTCTAAGGTAACCCAAACCATCCCTGTTGTTGGGTTCCCATGTCTGCACACCATGCTTTGCCCATTATGAGGAGTTCCCACCATCCTTAGTTAAGATCCCCGGTTTGCACTCCTGCTGTGCTCATTATGAGGGATTCTCACCACCCTTCAGCTGAGTTCCAAGGTCTTCACAATTGGTTGGGTTTCAAGGTCTGCATACTTACTGTGCCCATTAAAAGGTGTTCCCATCATCCTTGTACTACATTTCCAGGTTTTTACACCTGCTGTGCCCATTAGGAGAGACTCACACCATCGTTACTGTCTTTTTTAGTTATTTTATACTATAAAGAATGTAACAGGATTTGCTGGAACACACAAGGGTGGACAGGAACATCCACAACTCTGAGGTGTGCATGAACAGAGCTGGTAATTATGCATTTGAGATATCACTGTTGGAGTATCCCGACATATAAGAAATATGTCAAAATTTCAAAGTTAGACTCAGATTTAATCTTGTGGACTGCATAGGCTAACAAAGCTTGTGATCACTTTCAGAGCTGACACTGTGATCAATGCTTTGTTATTAAACAAAACCATTCTCAGTTCTAACACTAACCCTACATCATTGTTAATACATAAAGCTATGTGAGCTATGTGAGCACTAGTTTAAGCAACCTTCTAGCTTCTCTCCCATCAGTTGTGGGTTACACCCCCCCTCCCTTTCTGGATTGGTCCTCAGCCTAGGAGGTGCTTTATTTAAACACCATCAGACTGAGCCAATGTGCTTGTGATAGGCTTCCCAGTTCCGTGTCGGTTTCCTTGCCTGACCCAGATCTGCTATTATCTTGGATTCCCTTGTTGCTGACATTTGCCTTGTACCTCAATTGCTCTTTTTCTGAACTTGACCTAGGATCGCTTACTGGGCAACACTGGCTTGCCACCGACCCTGACCCTGGAACTTCCTACTGCCCCAACTTCTGAACTGTTTTTGGACTACGCTTGCTCACTACCTGCCCTGACCGTGGACTGTCCCAGGATTCTGTTACCAGTTTACTGTCTACTGCCTGACCAGTCTCGGAACTTTGGTACCTTTAGTTGTTTCAGTTGCTCATCCTCAGTGTTGCCTGGTCAGGAACTATAGCATCGTGTTCTAATACCTGTACAGGTAGCTGCTTGCCTTAAGGGAATGGGGACTGCTACAGGTAGAAAAAACACCAGCCAGCTAGAGTTCCTGACTTAAGCAACCTACAGATGATGCAATTCTCTTTCTTGCAACCACTGATTGATGGGGAAATCCCTTCCGCAACGGTATTCTGTTTTGCTGGTGGGGAGTCTTCCCTGTTGGCAAAACCACATGATTATGTGTAGCGGCTATAGCTGCCGACAGTGATTGCATGCAAAAAATCAGAGAGGCTGGTTGTACTGATGGATCGACTTCAGTACAATCAGCCCGCTCATAGATGGATCAAAGCTCGGCCAAGCCTGCTGAACTGGACGAGATTCATTCCATCTATGGATGGCTTTAGGTATTTGGCTCTGCATTACAAATGGCATGACAATCACATGACTTTGTCCATAAATAAAGGGATAAGGTCAGGCTGTATGTGCAAGGGATTCCTTAGTTCTTCAGTATCTGTTTTTCTAATATTTGTTTTTCAATTGTCATTTTCCAGCTAATGAGGGTTTTTTGGCTTACTAGGTCCAGGACATCTAAGCTTCCCTAACCTTCAGGAATCATTTAATGTATATTTAACCACTTGCCTACCAGGCACTTATACCCCTTCCTTACCAGGCCAATTTTCAGCTTTCAGCGCTGCCGCACTTTGATTGACAATTGCGCGGTCATGCAACATTGTACCCATATGAAATTTTGATCATTTTTTTTCTCACAAACAGAGCTTTCTTTTGGTGGTATTTAATCGCCACTGGGCGCTTTACGTTTTGCGCTATAAATAAAAAATTGCCAAAAATTTGAAAAAAAAAAAAAGTTTCTTTGTTTCTATTATAACATTTTTCAAACAGGTAATTTTTCTCCTTCACTGATGTGCGTTGATGAGGCAGCACTGATGGACACTGATAGGCGGCACTGATGGGCACTGATAGGCAGCACTAAAGGGCACTGATAGGCAGAGTACTAATGAGGTGGCACGGATAGGCAGCACTGATAGACAGCACTAATGAGTGTCACGGATAGGCGGCACTAATATGCAGCACTGATAGGCGGCACTGATAGGTGACACTCATGATGGGTACTGATAGACGGCACTGACTGGCATCACTGCTGGGGAGGGGCACTGACTGGCGGCACTGACTGGCACAACCGCTGGGCACTGACTGGTGGCACTGACTGGCAGCACTGCTGGGCTGCACTGGTGGGTGGCACTGGTGGGCAGCACTGGGTGGGTGGGCACAGGTGGGTGGCACTGGTGGGCACAGGTGGGTGGCACTGGTGGGCACAGGTGGGTGGGCACAGGTGGGTGGCACTGCTGGGCACAGGTAGGTGGCACTTCTGGGCACAGTGTGTGACATTGCAGAGTGGCACAGGTGGGTGCACTGCTGGGCACAGGTGGGTGCGCTGCTGGGCACAGGTGGGTGATCTGCTGGGCACAGGTGGGCGGAGCTAGTGGGTGCACTGCTGGGCACAGGTGGGCGGAACTTGCGGGTGGCACTGCTGGGCACCGATCATCAGGGCACTGATCATCAGTGCCCTGATGATCGGTGCCGATCCCGCTCTGACAACTGCCGGTTCTCGGTAGTACTTTCCTCACGATCTGACAGCGTGAGGAAAGTGCAGCCGAGAACCAGCACTTGCATTTCCCTCTGATCAGCGTGTCATTGGACACCGCTGATCAGGTGGTAAAGGGCCGCTGTGATTGGCCTTTTACCACATCACGTGATCAGCTGTGTCCGTAGGACACAGCGATCACGGAGATCGCCGGGTGCGCACCCCCTGGGGCGCGCAGTGAGAGCGCGTTTTGGGGGCACGTCATATGACGTCCACTCAGAACTGGCCGGCCGCAGTGCAGCCGTCATTCGGCTATCTGCGGTTGGCAACAAGTTAAACCCTAACAATGAACTTCCCATATTTGCTAATATAAAGGTTTAAAGTCAGCCATAGATCGAAATGTGGCCAGTTTAGCAGGGACTGGCCGAGATCCAATCCATATATGGGCTCCATTGATCGACTTGGGTTCAACCAGCCTATCAGATTCTTATCATTCAATTACTGCAGCTATAGCTGCTAGCAGTAATTGTTGTGTTCTGCCTGGCGGGAAGGGTCCCGCAACCCTCCCCCTCATCCCCACCACAATAAGGATGCGTTGATGGGGGAATCAAGCAGGGTATTTTTCCTTCCACTGGTGGTGGAAGGAAAGGAAATCAAATCATCTAGGGCAGGGGTCTCCAAACTTTTCAAAGAGCCAGTTTATGGTCCTTCAGACTTTAAGAGGGACGGAGTGTGGCCAGTGGGGGGAGAAAATGTTTTGGCCCAGCATCAGTGAGAATAAACATGGGCAGTGGTCAGTAAGAGGAAGAGTAGTGCCCCATCATCGTATTAATGGGAGGAATAGTACCCCATAAATATTATCAGTGGAAGAAATAGTGCCCCATTGTTGGTGTCGTTGGGAGGAATACTGCTTCATATCATAGGGAGGAATAGTGCCCCTAGGGCTGGATAAAGGCTAACAAAGGGCCACATCTGCCCTCGGGCTGCAGTTTGGAGACCCCTAATCTAGGGTCTGCTTAAGCAGCCTTCCCAGTTTTTATCTTGGATTACAGAACAATCACTCTCTATTCTGGGTAGATAACTCGAGGGGGTGAGATTCAGTAATTTAGTAAAAGACAACTGGGCAGAAATGAACACCATATTTTTTGTAATTTCAGTCAACAAAATTCTGTGTGTTGTCAACTCACAATAGGAAATTAAAAGCAAAGTGAATTTATGGCAGATGAATATGTATTTTTCTGTACTTGCAGGCTTTTATTTTTTTATTTTTTTATTTTTTTTATTTAAATATTTATTAAAAATTTTCATGTTAATACAAAAACCCAAAAAGGGAAAAAAATTCTCATACATATAAACATTTATAACATTTCTATCTTTCCCTTACTAAAAACTCTTTTCTTTCCCATCCCACTTCCCCCCTTCCCGCCCCTCATCCCCCCCTCCTCCCCCTCTGCAGACTCTAGCCCATTCTACTCTCTTGAGGCTTATTAATTTTTTTTGCTCACATCCTAGTTCATATTTTCCTATATTTCTCTTTCAATCCTGCTCTTTCCCATTTTTCCCATCTCCTGGAATAATAAACTCTCATCTTATCTTTCTGTATATGGTATGATCTTTCCATTCTACCTATCTGGTTTACTCTATTAATCCAGTCTTCCTCCTTCGGTACCTCAGCCTTCCGCCAAAACTTAGGTATCAACCCTTTTGCCGCATTCAAGAAGTACCAAATACCTGAGTCTTTATATCTATTTACAGATGTCTCCCACATTGTGTAGGAGACACGTCGTTGGGTCTAACCCTATGTCAATTTCAGTTATTTCTTTAATCAATTTGACTATTATTCCAAAAAGCCTGGATTTTTCGGACATTCCCACATATGTGAAAACACGGTGCCCATCTCTCCACATCCTCTCCAACACTTATTTGAGTTCTCCCCATTCATCTTGTGCTCTACACTCGGTGTAATGTGCCATCGTGTCACACACTTATAATTAACCTCAACCTCTCTCATACTAACATTATCGTGTATCAATCTAAACATCTTTCTCTGTCTATCTTCATCAAACCCAACTCCCATATCTCTCTCCCATTTTGTGATAAAAATTAACTTTGTATTTGTGTCTAAACTCTGTGAGTATTCTATACACTTTTGAAATACCGTGCTTCCCATCCCTTCGTGTCTCTAACAACCTTTCAAACATATTCCACTCCTGTTTTACTCTCAGGGGTTTTCGGTAGATTTCCAATGAAACATTTCAATTGATGATATTTCCACTCATCTATTCTAATAAAAATATCTCCCTTCTTCTCTATTAAATCTTTAAGTGGTCTCAATTCCCCCTCCACCAAAACATCTCTCAGTTGGGTATCCTCCTTTCTAAACCATCTCCCTGATATCTTATTTTTTCCCGGGGGAAAATAATCAGTATCTGTGAGAGGCATTAGTATAGAATTAAATTCCCATTTCATGTTTTTTGTGTAAATTGTCCCATACCCTAAGAACATTTAAAGTGTAGATACTTGTTGCTTTCTTTAATTCCCCTAAACTGTGGTGGAACCCATATCATCTGACTCAATCTAATGCCACTAAGATCATTTTCAATTGTTACCCAGCTTTTCCCCTTATGGTTAAATGTCCAGTCATCAATATTCTTGCTAAAACCACTTTTTAAAATCTCTTGTTTTTTTTTTTTTTTTTTTTTTTTTTTTTTTTTTTTTTTTTTTTTTTTTTTTTTTTTATCTAAAACCTTGTTTTATTTTTGACATTCTATAGACATTCTTAGACCCAATCCCCCTTTCTCTTTAGTCCTACTCAATGTTTTATATGCTATTCTGGTTTTTTAATTCTTCCATATGTATGCATTTTTTTTCATTAAGTCTTTTGAAGGCTTCCTGGAATTTTAATTGGTAGTATTTTAGGAATATTTACCATTTTTGACTAGGTTTATTGTACGTCCTATTTCCAGGATGGATTTCCTCCTTCCTAGTCTTTTTTAAATCTTCCCTGATTTTTTTGTTTATCAAAGAGATATAAGTTTTTTAATCTATACCACTTAATGATCAGTTTTCTTTTATTCCTACGGTATATTTGCTTTTCTTTTTCATTCCCCTTGGGTGGAATTCCCATATTGGTGGTTCATCTAATGCCATAAGATAATTTTCTAGTTACCCAACTTTTCTTATTTATGTCCAGGTCTTTTCTTGCTAAAACCACTGCTTTATAGTATCTCTTGACATCTGGTAGACCCAATCCCCCTTTCTCTTTAGTCCTGCTCAATGTTTCATATGCTATTCTAGGTTTTTTATTCTTCCATATGTATCTTGTTAACATTTTTTTCATTATCTTAAAGAAGGCTTCTGGGATTTTAATTGGTACCATTTGAAATCTATACAGTATTTTAGGCATAATTACCATTTTTGACTAGGTTTATACGTCCTATCCAGGATGGATTTCCTCCTTCTAATCTTTTTAAATCTTCCCTAATCTCTTTTATCAAAGAGATATAGTTTAATCTATACAGATGCTTAGATGAGGCAGTGAGTTTTATTCCTAGGTATTTTATCTCTTTTTCTCTCCATATAAGGGGAATTCTTTTTGTAGTTTTTTCTTTTTCGTTCTTTGATATATTTAATATTCAGGATCTCTGTTTTTGTTGGATTAATTTTTAAATTTGATAGTTCACCGTACTCCTTCAGGATCTTCATTATATTTGGGAGAGTTATTCGGGGATTCCCCACATAGAACAATAAGTCGTCCGCAAAGGCCGCTACTCTGTGTTCTATGGATTCTATCTGAATTCCCTTTACCGATCCACTATTTCTTATTATTGACAACAAAGGTTCGAGTGACAATACATATAGCAGGGGGGACAGTGGGCAACCTTGTCTTGTACCATTAGACATTCCAATGGGTTTTGATCTCTCCCCATTTACCGTGATGATTGCAGTAGGCTCTCTATATAATTTACTTATTCCACTCTCGCATTCTATCACCTATCCCCAGCACTTTTAAATTGTCCATCATAAAGCCCCAGTCCACTCTATCAAATGCCTTCTCTGCATCAATTGACAAGAGCACCACCGGGGCTTTCCCTTTTCTACTTTTCTGAATAAGCATCAGGGTTCTCAAGCCGTTATCTCTACCCTCTCTCCCCGGCACAAAGCCCACCTGATCTCCATGGATCCATTCAGGCATCAAATCCCTCAACCTGTTTGCTAACACCTTTGCATACAGTTTAGTGTCAGTGTTCAATAATGAGATAGGTCTATAGCTGGAGCACTGAGAATGTAATGGATCTTTTCCCTCCTTATGAATAAGCACTACATGGGCCTGTAGGGATTCTCTCCTCACTTCCATCCCACCTCCCAGAGCATTCATATATTTCTCCAGCTTGGGTAACAGTACTTCACTAAATTTCTTATAGTACTTAACTGTATAACCATCCGGGCCTGGGCTTTCCCCCCCCCCCTGTGCTTTTTAATGCTATTTTAATTTCTTCCTGGGAGATTTCTGCGTCTAGGGAGTTCAACTGTTCACTTAGTTTTGGTAATCCTGCATTTTTTAAGTATGTCATCTTTTTTTTATTAATTCCCTCTTGAGTTTCTTTTAGAGGGCCTTGGGGGCTAATATTATATAACTTTTTGTAATACTCCGTAAACACTTTAATAATCTCTTTATTTGAGTGGACCAACTCCCCCTTTGAGCTTTTTATCTTTTCTATATAGTTCCTATTTTTCTTTTTATTCAAAGCTCTCATTAGATATCTTCCTGGTCTGTCTCCCCATCTATATCTCTCGTTCAAACCCTGTTGTATACTCTTCTCTTTTCCTCATCCATCAACCTCTCTAGTTCATCTTTTTTATCCAATAACTTCTGTCTCGTATCTTTGTT